GTTAGAGATAGAGAGAGGGTGCTTGAACACTGTGGTTTTCCATGGTGGCTATTCTATGAAATATTCAACACGACCGCAGGCTACGTCGTCATAGCTTTTGTAGGAACGGAAAGCCAACGACGGCGACGAGCCTTCGTTCCCGACCAGACGGATGCATTATTTTTCTTCGTTTCTCACCCCTCGTACGGTCAACGGCGCCCTAACATTCATCGTGGTGGTCCTATCGCGGAGGCCGATATATTGAAAAATGTTGTCCCTTCGTAACTTCCGCGATAGCAAATCTTTTCTTTCCTCCCTTCTCCCCCGCCCCCCTCTCCGTTTATCTTTATCTTTCTCTTTTTTTTTTGGTCTTCATCATACATTCCCTTTCTTTCAAGATAGAAAGAAGAAGAATCTTTAAGATGATATAAAGAAAAAGGAAAGGAAAGAATTTATCGTTGTAAATTGTTTGCACGTCGTCCAATTTGTCTAATAAAAGTCCAAAGAAAAGTGATTGCAAATTATTGATGCTTGAGTATTGTGAGAGAGGTGTAGGGGGTGGGGGTGCGGGGGTGAGGATGTTGTATATCTCGTAGATACTTAAGGGGAAGAAAAGTGTAGAGAAGGAAGAAGCTACGTAAAGACCTTTTTCAACCTGAAATCATTTTAATGAGATAGACGTCGGAAGTAGAAGACGACAGGAAGAAGAAACGTGGGTAGAGAGCGAAAGAATGGTGGGGTAGGGGAAATAGAAAGCATTATGCAGCTACCAGACAAGCTCGGGCCTTCAGCCAAATAAGTAAAAGGCTAATGACAAAAAGTCGAATTAAAATAAGAATCGCGTCGAGTGGCGAGGACACCTCAAGGATTTTCGAGGACCAACGACCGGAGCCAAGTACTTCCAATAAATTAAACCCCTTCCTTCTCTCCCACGAAAACGTTCTATCGATCTTCTTCCCGAACGTAATGTCTTCGAATTTTCCTCCTGTTGTCTTTTCTTTAAGTATCTTCGAACCATAAATTCGTTTCATTGACTACATTTTCTTCGAGACAATTGAAACTTTATTACATAAAATATAAGTTAGATAGAGAGAAGGAAGAAAAGTAGAAAACATCTGTCGTACAAATCTATGGAATTATTCGTGGAACAGTGAATAATACGCGTAGAAATATTTAACAAATGCTTTATTTTTATATAATGCGACTTCACGTACGAGCATGTGCGTCATTCGATTTAAATCCGTATCGTTGTCCAATATCTACATTATGCGAAAAATAATACGCGTGATATTCCAGTAATTTTGATTCTCAAAAAATATCAAATTATATTGAATTGAATTAAATGTGGAAATATTCAGGTTATGAGAAATGTTTCGTTTCTTTAAAAAATTATCTACATAACAAGTTGTATTTGATTTTCGAATGATTTTACCGTTCGACTTTTACTTTCTATAGAAGTCAACAAGAAAGGATCTCCGATAACAGCTTTGACAAAGGAGATCTTCTCTATATACTTTCGGGAAGGTCGGAAAAGGGAGAAGAAGGGTAACCTTTGCATCGTTAGACCAGGATCGTATAACTCATTTAACGTTAAAGGTGCGGTGGTTGGTCCATCGATAAAATCGTTTTAAATCGACTCGACGGACACCGACGTCTCGATGAGTTATCTTTTATCTCGCGACAGTTGCCCTTCAGATCCATTTGGCGTAGAGCCACGTTTCTTCCTGCCCTTGCCGAAGGGTCGCTTACTTTTGTCCGATACTGGGTGGGCCAAGAACGTGTAATTATCTTTATCAAGAGTATCCTTTTCTATAAAACAATATCCATTTATATTTAATACATTCATTAATATTAATACATTAAACATAGAGATAATAATATAGAGATGATAATATTCTTTGAGTTGAGATTGTCTTACTATCCTTGAAAAATAAGAAGCAAACGTGAAGAAAATTCAAGTTTGACTTCGTCGATTGCCCTCTCTATCGAATGACACGTGGACAGGAACGTAATTATTCGGACACCCCATATAGACGAAAGAGAGTCTCCCGTTATCGGAATTATTGGATTCTGGGCTTCCTTTGAAAGCTTGTCTGAAAATGCTGGATGGGATAAATGCGGCGGCGGCTGTCAGAAAAGTAGGAATTCCCTCGGGGTGATGTTGCTGCCGGAGGGATGAGGAAATGGCAGAGGGAATGAGAGAGAAGCGGATGTGTTGAGGAACGAATGGACGAGAGAAAGGAATGGCAAGAGGAAGGGAGGATAGATCGTTGGTGCCAGCCTTAAGGGCGCCTTCATGGATCATAGAGGGTCGTTTTGAATAATTTATCGATCATGCCAGCGAACCTGTCTTTTCAGAGTCAGAACGGTATGATCGCTATCAGTGAACATTGACTATAAACAGGAAATTTAACTTGACCTTGATTTTGTATATAATCACGGTCAACAAGTTTAACCTTGATTTCTTTGCTTTTTAGTTTTTAAAAGTTCTGAACAAAGAACGAAAAATAAAGTTTAATTATTTAACCATTTACGAGATAAGATTTTTATTTTAGAGACGTTTGATGAAAGCTAATGCGAAAAAGCGAACACAAGACAGATAAGAACACAATTACTGTTCCGTCTAGCCTTGTAAGGAGGCATCCTTTGGGACCAGTCACGACTCACTGCCGCCGGTAATAACGTCGTACCTTTTGTCCTCTCTTATTACCGCTTCACTTCCGTTCTCCAAATCTCTCGTGATGATTATTAAGGTAACACGAACTCTTCGCTTTCAGACACGTACTCACAAATCTCCCTCGTCTCTCTTATCTTAATTCGAAAAGTTTCCCTTTGACGAATACGTTCGTTCCCATTGCTAAAATAGTCTCTTCAACTAGGAACATCAAGAATAATCTATCTTCTTCACATTTGATATTTCATCGTTATTCATTTTTTTTTTTTTACATAATCTCCTTTTATTGTAGATTCCAATAATATAGTTTTTAAGTCTTCTTTCTTATACACATTACACAATGTATATACAAATTTCTTCTTTATACATTTGATTATATATTGATTTTATATATATTATTTTCATTATAATATTAAATCTTTTAAGGTTTTTTTTTTCCTTTTTTCTTTCACCTGAAAATAATCCTATATTTCTATTAAATTATAAAGTATTTTAATGCGCTTGAAATACATCGTATTATAAAAGAAGTCGTGAAAATGTGCGATTGTTTATATTGTCAATTAATAAGAAGGGCACCGACGTTAACAGCTACGGACCTGAATACGTACACGCTACTACGAGACATAGGCAGTAGTAGAGGGGGGAATTTACAGTCATCGCCATTTCTCACACCAACCAACACCCAATGAATGACGTCAGGTACGTACAGTGTACACACGATCGTCATAGCATTCCGACCGCGTTCTTCAAGGAAATCGAAAAATCCTTTGTCGCGAGGCGTCAAAATGCCGATCGATAAGAGGATCGTGAGAACAATTTGTACGCTGTTATTATTCGTGACGATAGGTAAGAATAAAATCGTTGAATAAATCAAATATCGTGAGTGAATCGTGACGTTATTCACGAACAATGGCCGTTCGTGAATGCCAAGCCATAACCATCTTGGGAAAGCAACAGCGCCCTAAGTGTTTTACTTTCGAATTTTCTATTCTATAAAAACAATATCTCATGTTGTACAATTTGTTTAATTATGGAATTAATTATCTAATTAATGTGTTATAGTTTCGTACGAGCTTAAAATATATATTCTAATCTTTCAATCGAATCGATTAATAAATAATTAAGATTCTTCATAGAATTTGTAAAAAGAAAAATATATATGTATGTATATACATATATATATATATATATACCTAAAGTGTAATGAACGCTTTGTAGGAATCAATGAAAACGTTTTGACCTGTTGAATCGTAAAACGTCTCGATGAAAAAAAGATAAAAGGAGTTTTATATTTGAAAAGTACTTTTTTCCGATCAGGATGCGAAGCTATTCGGTGTTACCAATGTAGCAGTAATACCGATCAAGAAGGCGAAGATCTTTGTGGAGCTTATGGAAAATTCGACAAAGAAGGAAATATTCCGGTGGAATGTAGTAACGAAGAATCTCATACGCCTGGAACGTTTTGCATTAAGTTGACACAACAAAGTCCTCGTGGCTTCATATGTGAGTATTTTTTGTCGATAAACTTTTTCTTAATTTGATTAATATTCAATCTGAAATGTGATTCGATCAATTTCAATCGAACTTCTTCTATTAGAGAGAAAATAAGTATATACAAATGAGGACATGTTTACTATCAAAGTTATCAGAGTCAGTAAACTTGTTAAAATAAACAAAATTGCATGTTAAATACTTCTATTTTTTTTTTTTTTTTTTTTTATAACTAAATGAATTTAATTGCCGCACTCAACGAAGTTTAGTTTATATATCAAATTCACTTTGTTTTCTTTATTATTTTTATTGAACTACAATATAATGTTTTACCTCTCTGTTTACTCATTTATCATTCTTAAAGGGAACGGTAGATGGCGACAAGTGATACGAAGGTGTGCATCTGTCTCCAGTACCGGAGTTACAGGTGTCTGTAATTGGGGGGTCTACGAAAATGGAATCTATTGGCAAGAATGTTCTTGTTCCGAAGATTTTTGTAACGGAGCATCCTCATTTTCTTCACTTTCTACAATAATCTTTGTTACATCAAGCGTCCTTCTTTCGATCCTTTTTACAAGATAAATTGGAGTACGCGTCTGAAAAAAAAAAAAAAAAATAATAATACACACAAAATTTCATTAGCAACGAATCCGTCCATTATAATTTTATTTAAAAGTATAGAGATATTTTAGACTAATAAGAGAATCATTAGGAATTTATTCCTGAACGGAACAAATTGTTTTGGAGAAAGGATTATTAATATATATATATATATATCTCATTTTTATATCTTTATATAAAGGAATTTAGAAAAAAAAGATAGATATAAATTAGATGAAAAATCAACGTCTTCTTCATTAGTTTGTACATAAGTTTTAAGTTTCATCAATGACAATTTCATATATTACATATATATGAAACATTTTGCAATAATTTTTCTTACAATAAATAATCCCGACCATGTTGATGTCATTTAAGTTTAATAATATTTATAAACTAAGATCGAGAAGTTTAAAGAGAATTGATTTAATCAAAGGATGATCGAGCTATAGATAAATGTCCCTGATAACTAGTATCAAGAGACAAAAGCACGTAATTAGTACAAAACGGATTAGTAGCTACGATCGGCATGTGATCGATCTATAAAAGTTCGATAAGCTGATCGCGCTAGTAAACTCGTAGTTACCTCAAAATATCAGCAATATCTTTGCGTCATCCGTTGTAGCTATTGCAATTATTTTTCCTCAGGTTACATCATGGACGTAATAGTGCGATAGAAAAAATTGCTAAAATCGTAGTTTCCTAGCCGAAATCATATTACGTGGCCATTAAAAAGTAGCAATAAAGAAGTATAAATATTGATCAATATCTTTTGAAATACTTATCTCGTGCCTGTAAATAACATAATTGTTTCTATATCAACTTGTGTATGCGTACATACATACATATATATATTTACAGCAAAGAAAATAAATATACATAACTGCCTTACGAGAAAGAATCTTTGTTCATAGAATTTCTGTTTTCAATGCGATACATTTATATCATATATTAAATCGTAATTTTATTACATAAAAAATAAAAAAAGAAATAAAAAAAAATAAAAAAAAAACATATTTATATGAATCACCGTATTTCTGTATTCGTTTATTTTGTAATGAATTCGTGCGTAATCGATAAGACTTAGTAGTTTCCTTAAGTAGTTGTATAGTGTTAGGATCAACCTAGATATAACATCTATCAGTATTTCAAGCGACAGGTGGCCATATGAATCCTACTTGATTCATAATCGCTCGACGAATTTTGGATCTTCTGAAACAAAACAACAATGTAAGAGAAAGGGTAGGAAAGAAGGGGGGAGGAGGAGAGAGAGGGAGAATACACGAGAGCGCACACCCTCTTCGCCACAATATACATCACGTTATAACGCCGGAAATTCGGTGGTCGCGAGTTAATTACGTCACGTGAGACTATTAATGCCTTGGCAGATCTAACACCGCGTTACATACAATGGCACGGTTGTGTTTAGGTTCTCTTACCCATATATTAACGTCGCGACCCATGCCAACCCTCGTTACTTGAGACGTTATAATTAAGACCGTCCGCTTCGACCATCTCGGACGTAGCGATTTGCAACTTTGGAATTTGACTTTGTTCGTACAAGCGCGCTCTATCGTATCTGTCTGTGACCCTGTATTACCGATTACTCTTGAGAATGAAATGTCATTTTGAATGAAACGATTAATGAAATTCATTATAATCATTACATTTAAACGAACTAGTGCTTAAGATATTTTTGTTAAGTGTGCACTCTTAAGAGTCCTTAAGATGTATTTGTTAAGATATTTGTTGGAATGTTCAAAGTATGCACGAAGATGAAGGTAAAGGATAGTCCATCCGGTGATTTCCATTGGTTGACCTTAGTGCACTTAATTTTAGGAATAAGAGTCTCTCCATCTGCATTTAGGTCGTTATTACATCAAGACGCGCTTAATTAGCTCCTGGCAAAGCGGAAAGTGTTGCGCGTTTGAACCTCCGCTGCTCGCAAGTCCGTAATAATAATATAACCTCGTATCTTCATAATGCGGAAAACACTTTTCAACGTGGCTGGCGTAGAAGTGAAGCGGTATACGAAAAGGGATGTTGAAATGGGGAATGGGGAGGGCTGAATTCTTCGTCGTTTAAATACTACACCGGGTGTACTGCTCGTAAATTATTTCTTTAATCTGTAAAAAGTAGAACATAGTTAGTAGTAAAAATCAAAGTGCTTACTAACGAATACAATGTTAAGATATAACTTTATAACATTTTTTTTTTTTTCTATGGAGATTTATCCTATAATTTGTAGATACATCAAAAAAATTGTCCATCATGTTTGATCCCGGAAGAGAATTTCCTCAGGTAAGATAATTATTTTTTTTTGAAATGGACTTAACGAACAAGTTTCAACAATCGAAGATCATCCTTTGGGGTTCTATAATATCTGTCAAAATAAAAATTGCGATAACATTGTTTACTTATTTATTCCGTTTAATTATTGTATATTATATTCATCTGAAATTGTATTATAATTGGAATATCTTTGATTTTATCTTTTACTGAAAATTGTTTCGCTTAAAAATTGTGTTCGTATAAAGGGAGAGAGAGAGAGAGAAAATGACAAAAAAGTCGTATTTATTATAACATTTCATATATTATTTTTAATATCAAACGATCAATCTGGTAAACTTTGGAAAATAAAAAGATTACTAAACAAAAGAAGAATGTAATTGTCGTTTACGATTCGTTAGCTATGTTATTAACTAGACGAACGACCAATAGGATACATTCTGTTATTTTGTATCAGATTGATAATTTTGGACGCTATATTAGAATTCCCGTAAGTTTAGTACAAATCAGAGTGTTTGAATGACGCAGAATTTACCGCGTAATTCCTATTCCTCCCTTCTTTTCGCTCATTCATTTTCTTTCCTTCTTTTACTCTCTCTCTTCCTTTTTCTCTCGATATTCCATCGTTCCTTTCATTCGACCTAACCAAATAGTGTCGAAGGATTGTGTTTTTACGAAAGATTGTAGAGGTTAGAATTTACTCACGCGGTTTAATGTATTGCGCATCGTCTCAAAGAATTTTAAGGTAAATTCGGTCATTATTAGAACGTAATAAAAATGAATGTAGCAGACGGACCCGGATTTACTCGTTATGAGATTTTGTTACTCGCTGCAAGACTTTCCTTTGTAACTGCAGTCGGATTTTTTACGATGAAATGGTTCGTCCATCAACTTGATCCTACAAATGCGGCTAAGAAAAAAGCTAAAAAAAAGGTAGGCTTTCTATTTTCTATTAATTTACACGAAGAGAATATTTTCTATCTTATTATATTTCAATTTTCGTATAAGGAGGCAAACCTAACCTATATCGTCGAATGAAAGATATATAATAAAAGATCTTACTACTTTCAATTATTATTTAGACTCGAGAACAATTGCGTAAACTTGCAAAATCAGATGGTGTTATATTATCCGTTGATATGGATCAATTAACAGATTACGAAATCATAATTGCTAGTCATTTAGTTGATCCTCAAGATATCAAAGTTTCATGGGAGAATATAGCTGGATTGGAGCATGTTATTCAAGAACTTAAAGAGACAGTTATACTGCCCATACAGAAAAAAGAACTTTTTTTAAATTCTCAATTAACACAAGCTCCAAAGGTTTGTAAAAATAACGTGTTATATTTAAAAAATTGTAAATTATATTGTATTAACCTCTCTGCCTTTCATTCAGGGTGTTTTATTACATGGTCCACCAGGTTGTGGTAAAACTATGATTGCAAAAGCTACTGCCAAAGAAACTAGAACTCGTTTCATTAATTTAGATGTTAGCATTCTTACCGATAAATGGTACGGTGAGAGTCAAAAATTGACTGCTGCTGTATTTTCATTGGCTGTAAAACTTCAACCATGCATCATCTTTATAGATGAAATAGGTTAATTGAATGAACATAATCTTTTGTGATTGTTTAATAGTTTCTTACTTTGCTGTATTATATATATTTCATTATCTTTTACTTTATTAGATTCCTTTTTGAGAGCACGCAATTCACAAGATCATGAGGCAACTGCTATGATGAAAGCACAATTTATGTCAATGTGGGATGGTCTAATAACTGATCCATCTTGTACTGTGATTGTAATGGGAGCAACGAACAGACCCCAAGATTTAGATAGAGCTATTTTAAGGCGTATGCCTGCTACTTTTTATATAGGATTACCTGTAATACACAAATTATATATTATTGTCTTTCGATATTTCTCTATTTTGTATTTATGTCAATATATTTCATTGATATAGAATGAAGAACAGAGAATACAAGTCCTGAAGTTAATTTTGCAGCATGAGCCAATTGCAGACAATGTAGATATTAAAAAGATTGCTAAAATGACAGAAGGTTTTTCTGGCTCGGATTTGCAAGAACTTTGTAGAAATGCATCTGTATATCGTGTTAGAGATTATCTACGAACACATGCACAGTAAATATCAGTGCATATAACAAAAAAAAATGTTTTATTTGGACAATATATTGAGAAAAATATTTTACACATTTTTATCTTTAAATTTATAGGGATATAGGCGAGACAAGTGCAAGTACTAGTACAGACGACGAAGAATTCCACGATGCCGTACGTCCTATAACAATGGAAGATCTTCTCACGTCTTATAGGAAATTAAAAACATCTAAGATGCATACAGGCACTTTAAATTCTGTTAGGTTAGATTTAGATTAAATACAAGAGGATCGAGATTATCGGCATGTATTACACTAACTAATTTTTATTCAATAAGTTGGAGTATGTTTAATAAAACAAATATCTTACAGTCGAAACAGTTTTATAACTGTGCTCGATCTTTTTACGAAGATAAATACTTGCAGAAGATTTCATGATGTATGCAAATATAAAATCATAATTGTCCGGGTATGTTCATATTATCTTCTTCACTAATCTTTTTCTTTTTTTTTTCCATTTATTTTATTTAATGGAATTATAGATTCATTAAAATTGTGATTCATTGGACTTCTTTGAAAATTTTGATATAAGTATATTCAAGATATTGAATCTTCCATGTGCTTGTGTGAAATCTTCCAATTATACTTATCATCATTATTGTTTTCAGAGTATACACAATAATCGTGAAAAACTTATTCACATTTGAACATTTATTTATTAAAAGTTTATGATATTTATCATTTTTTAGGGAAGACACTTTTTGTGAACTTTGGATTACATAATTCATGAAATCAGACATCTTGTATAAATGAACACGTAAAACTATTCTGAGTCCTATTAATATATAACTAAATATGTAACTAAAAATAACGTATGTATCCACATTGTATAGAATCAGTTTTGTTTTGAAGACAGTAATATATTACGTAATATAATCTCAATAGGAATACATAAGTGAAACTTAAGAGAACTACTTTTCTTTTTAATTTAAATGTTATTGCATTATTATCAATGAAAGCAGATTAAATTATTCTTTCTGTGATCTATCATAACTTATTTTATAAAGTTATATTGATGTTATCTGAGGCTGAAATGATATTTAGATAAAATGTACAATTTGAAATAATAGTACAACATGAAAAAGAAACAAAATAATAATGTAGAATTATATTTTGCACAAAGTTTATGCTTATATAGTTGAAAAGGAAAAGAATTTTATCTGCGACATACTATCGAAATCAATTCATTCGTATAAATGTATACTCAATCATTAGAATACTTACGTAACATAATAGAAGGATTTATCTTGATTTAGATATATTAATAGTTAAGTTTCATTATCTGATCAATGGAAGTATTTAACTTCAAATTTTAATATACCGTAGGAAATGAAGTTTTAAATATGGCATATATTCAAGTGTTTCGATGTCGAAAGGAATATGAAAAGGCAAAAAAAGAAAAGAAAAAAAAAAAGAAAAAAAAAAAGAAAACAAAAAAAAAAGAAAAAAAAAGAAAACAAAAAAAAACAAAAAAATCGACTTTAATTATTAGTAAAAAAACATTTTGTTTCTAAACCACTGCGAAATTTAAAATGTATTCGAATAAAGAAAAAAGATTTTGTATGTCGCGGTGTTTAACCCATAATATAAAATATAATTCGTAAAATGAATTTAAATTGTAAATTTAAAAATCGTGCATGTATATATATATATATAATATAATTTGATGCGTAGTGGTGTGTACGTATTCGAAATTTGGAGCTCGTTGTTGATTGGTCGGTGTTATCGCGTATCGATTATAACCGACCAATGAGCGTTCGAGAAGAGAGCATGTCGCGCGCGTACGATATCAATAAGAGTGAGGTTGATTGGTCGGTGAAAAGAAAATCAAACGCGCATGTGCGCCAAGTGAGACAGCGGAGCGCCTCCATCGTTCGGTGAGAATTTCCAGGAACGTAAGTCGCTGAGAAAGAAAGATAGAGAGGGATAGAGATAGAGACCAAGAGCGAGCCAGGACAAAGCCTCTGCCCTCCCTTGTAATGCCGCGGTGTAAGCGGTCTATCGTCATCATCCATTCTCCTCCGTACGAGAAACGACTGTGGTGTATGCACGCGACATGAACGCGTCGTCGTGAATGGCGCCGGTGGTGAAAAGTTTGGCTGTGCAAGTTTTACCAATAATTATTTCGTTTAACAGTCGCCTATGGAAGCAGTATTTGAGATGGACGCTTACGAGGAGTAGCACCACTTCCGTTCGCTAATTAAGCGTGGCTTTTCGCTCCTTTTTCTTTTCCTGTTTTGTTTTCTTTTCTTTTGTTTCTTTCCTTTGCTTTTTTTTTTTTTCGTTTCCTTCCCCTCTTCTTCTTAGCGGTTACCACATACACGAAGCATCTCGATAGTATATATACGTACCTCACGCGCGTGGATTAGTAGCGGACGATTGCAAGGCTAAAAGAACGCGGAGGAAAGCAAAAGAAGAGACAGAAAGAGAGAGAGAAAGAGAAAGAAAGAAAGAACGAAAAAAAAATGCGCCTCGAAGTAGAGAGAAGAGCGTGGAGAACGCTCGGATTCCAGTATGAGTGTCCGTAAAAGCGGACGACGAATATCGACGAGACTCGCTCGGTTATAAAGTGGACGGACAGCCGTGCGCTGCAACACACCTGCACGGTGTGCACGCTCCGATGCGTTGTTGGTGAGTGTGTGCGTCTACTGTCTTTTTCTTTCTTTCTATCTATATCATCATTATATATATATATGTATATATATATATTGTGTATATACACATATATGTATATATATATATATCTCCCTTCCCCGGCAAGCGCGTGTGTCGCGGTTGGCTGCTGCGTACGCGTGTCCCCCTCTCATCGCGAATCCCGCTATATTCGGTGTATATATGTGCGTGTGAAGGAGAGCGTTTATGTACGTTGACACGAGTGCATTGGTGTCTCTTGCACCTTCTTAACGTCGTAGATGAACCGAGAAAACGTGTATATCCTTCTTGCGCCCTGTCGTCCACGAGAGATACATGTATGTATATATGATGTGTGTAATATACGTGTGTTACTCGCGGTAGTAAACCATCGTCACTACCATCATACAACCACCACCACCACCAGCACTACACATCAACGTCGCGTCGTGCGTATGTGTATGTATATACTGTGCGCAGCCGTCGTGCGCGAACCACACGCATGAACCCGCGCAAGTGTTGTATATGTATGTACACGCGTGAAATGAATATATATGTGTTTGTGTGTGTGTATGTGTATGTGTGTGCCTTCTCTTGGACGCGAGTAAGCGTCGTGTGTCGTACGCAGAGTACGACGAGCAAGTGTTCCGATTCTGACACGATGACACGACCGTGCTGGGAAAACGTGGGACGACAGTGAATATACGTGCGGGCGCGAGTGCTTCTATAGACGCGTTCGATCGTGTTTTATCTTCTATACTTTGCCGTTGCTCCTACTCGACGCAGGAGGACGAACTCATCGAAGACCATCAATTTCGAATTAGAGGTCTGCTGCGTTTCATCGTCGCAGGACACGCCGTGATCTCGCGTAGGAGAACGGACGGAGTGTATGTGCATGTGTGTGCGTATGTGTGTGGTGAGTGAGAGAGACAGAGAGAAAGAAAGAAAAAAGAGTGAGAGAGTGAAAAAGAGAGGGAGAGAAAGAAAGAGTGAGAGAGAGAGAGGGAGAGAGAGAGAAGTGGATATCGATGAACATGGTTCGAACGTTTCTGGCCGGTTTTTCAATGAGCACGAAAGATCGAGGATCTTTCGATACGAGAATCGTGTCTCTCTCGCGAGAAATTTGTTAAATTCTATGGTAGCAATATGTGAAAAGGCACCGCTTCATTGAGAAGACGAAATATCCCGAACGATGTGCCAGTGAAACTGGCGTGAAAAATCGTATCCGTACGTCGGAGAAGCTCTCCGGCATTGCAAATGGTGCTTAACCTAACCTTTCGTTCTTCTATGCTCGTCGTCACGGTTTTTCTCGCTGCTGAGCGCGTTCTTTCGAGATCTTGCAGGGAACTGAAATTGGAGAGAGAGAGAGTGAGAGTGTGTGTGTGTGTGTGTGTGTGTGTGTGTGTGTGTGTGAGTGAGAGAGAGAGTGTGAGAGAGTGTCCAAGACACCGAGATCGGGCTCCTCTTTTGCATTCGTAATTGTACGTTAATCTTTCTTCTTTATCGAAGAACATCGATTTTTTTTCATCTCCTCGATATATAAAGTCGATCGTGCGATTACAATTCTAGCTTCCTCTTTTTTTTTTCCCCCCTCTCTCTTTTCTCACTTCGTAATTTTTCTTCCTTCATAGTTACCAGATATTCTATCGCGATGAAACGATTTTGATCTCTAATCATTTTTTTAATAAACTTTTCCAATCGACCATTTCATATCCAATACAGAGAACAGCTTTCTTTATTTTTAAAGTTACATGTGCATTGATATTTAAATTAAAGATGATTCTTGATATAATATGATAAACTTTTCCCCCCCCATAGAGAGATTTGCATCCAAATCATACTGACAGAAAGTTTCTTTTGTATCTATTTGATTTATCATATTAAAAAGTTATTGAAATTTATTGAATCTCTAATGTTTGTCGTTCAACAGCAGTGATTGTGGTGTTCATGTCAGTATTCGATGGAAATGACAGAAATAAGAATGTATTTTGAATGCTAGGTTTTCGTCCTTTGCTTGAGAATTACAAATTCAATAATCTTTATGAAATCTTTGATTTTTGAATAAGAGTATAAAGAGTAGCATTAGTTAATGTTTTTGTGTTGTGCAATGTGGATCCGTAAAACAAAGCTCTAATTTTGTGTAAGTTGACATTTCAATACTTGTGTCAAGCTGGTGCTGGCGGTGGTGGTTACATAGTGACGTTACAATCTGATTGTGACAGAGAATTACTAAATGTTATGGAAGAAAGATAAAAAGTCTCTATGAAATGGATAATAAAAGGAACACATGCTCTGGGAATTGATGGGTATATGCTTTTCCTGCAGGAGACCTACTAGCAGCAGGTTGAACAGTAAGATCTCTGAGCACATTTCGGCGTCGGTAACTCCCCTCCATGTTTGTCTGGAGGAACAAAGAGGACCAGAACTGGGCTTATGTGACGCCTCAGCTCACAAGCCACAGGTATAGTTTTATATTCTCTATTTATAACATTTAAGATAATAGTATAAATTATAAATGATTTTAATTAGATTTATTCCTTTGAACAGGTCAAAAAGGTTTTTGAAAATTACAAAGCACAAGAAGAGGCTGCAGAGGAAAAATTGGAGATTGGACTAGTTGTAATTGATATTGGAGAGGTGGAGCAAAACCAGTCGAGTATGGCCAATACTATTAGTAATATGAAAATGACTAACCCCATAAAGGGGCTTGTCAGTAAACGTCGTAAACGTTTCAAAGAAGATGGCTTCGATCTTGATCTCACATGTAACCTTTTGAATTTATTATTTAAACTATCCATTTATAAATATTCATCGTATACAGGTATAAAATGCATTACTACATATTCCTTAACTTTATTGTAAATAAATAGATATACGAGATAATTTAATAGCTATGGGATTTCCTGCTGAAAAGTTGGAAGGAGTATACAGAAATCATATTGATGATGTTGTCAAACTGCTAGAATCTAAACATAAGGATCATTATAAAATTTATAACTTGTAAATAGCTCTTTTTTATTTTATTTTATTTAACTCTATATTATTTTTGTATCTATAATAATTTTAAAAAAATTTTCTCTCTTCCTAGATGTTCCGAGAGATCCTACGATTTTAACAAGTTTAAGCAAAGAGTTGCTACGTATGCATTCGATGATCATAATCCACCAAGGTTGGAACAAATTAAGCCATTTTGCGAAGATGTACACACGTGGCTTTCTTTGCATAAAGAAAATGTAGCAGTAGTTCACTGTAAAGCAGGTAAAGGACGAACTGGTGTTATGGTATGTTGCTACCTTCTTCACAGCAAACAGTTCCCCACTGCCACAGAAGCTCTTAACTATTATGGTACCAAAAGAACACACGATAGGTAGGTTCTTTTCGGATCGTTTTGCCGCATGCTAATACTATTATTTCTGTATAATAACAGTATATAATATAACATTTTGTAATTAGGAAAGGAGTAACAATACCTTCCCAAAGGAGGTACGTGGGTTATTATGCTACTCTCGTTCAAGAGGGTCTAAATTACCAGCCAATTACATTAATTCTACGGAAAATTCAATTGGATCCAGTTCCCATTTTTAACGGGGGCCAAGGCTGTAAGAAGAATAATAATTTACATTACTCGTTTAAATGTTAATATAAAATAATATATTCTAATTTATAATCTATATTTTAGATCTGCATTTTGTAATATCTGAATCAAATAAGAAGGTATTTAGTTCAGAAGTTCATGAAGTACGAAAAGGAATGCATTCTATTTGTATTCCATTACAACATAATGTGGCTCTAACAGGTGATATTCGAGTGGACTTCTATAACAGGCCAAAAATGAAAAGAAAGGTATATGATTACAATGTCTATAAAAATATTTCTATTCACGTGTTAATCGACTTGAAAATTATTCTATTGTTCTTAGGAAAAGCTGTTCCACTTTTGGTTTAATACATTTTTTGTACGTGATCATGTTTTATCTGAATACGATAACGGGGAATTACCGGTTGAACGATCGACGAGGGCATTGAGTTGCGATGGTACAGCCATGGAATTACCGATGGTCATGTCACATGTAAAACCCCGAACAGGATCTCTAGCTAGCCTTGGACCCATGCCACCTACTCTTGTTTTGAGTATAGACAAGTGGGGCTTAGACGACGCACATAAAGACAAACATCACAAAATCTACAGTGCAGATTTTAAAGTAAGTTCTATCGTAGATTATCCAGCGATGCCCTACCTAAATTTATATCTCGTAATAATATTTACTAATTTCAGGTTAGTTTATTTATGCACCGAGTTGGTGGAAGTAATTCGCCGGCTGTGCCAGCGACAACGAATAGGTTGGGAGAGGGTCTACAAATAGGAATGGGTGGTCAGGAAACGCCCAGCGAATCCAGTGAAGCGGATAGCAGTGAATGCGATACAACGGGAGATGAAGATGGTTGGGAATCTGGTGAGTCTTCTGCATCTCTGGTGGTGAATCACCACAATCTTACACACAGCAGTAGCCATACACATGTTAATACCCACCAAAGAACTAGTCTCAGAGAAACAGCTAAAGGTTTACTCTCACGTGGAGATAAAAGTAGGAATAGCCCTAGGCAAAGCACTGCTAGTGTAAAACGTTCTTCAACATTTGTTCGTTCATCCACGTTAGATACATAGTCGATTCGTTGATCTTGGAAACTCTTAGAAACTGAGTTCTTTCAACTAGCATTATACTTTGCAGATTTACGTAACTTCAGTTTTTAAGTTTCAAAAGATTTGTAGTGTGTGTGTGTTTATATACATCGTATATACATACATATACACACATATATATATGTATGTATATATGTATATATGTATGATGTATGTATGTATAATAGTATACACACATGCAACACATACTCTATTTTATACACACACACACATACACGCACACTATTGCTTGATAAGAGAGTACAATCTAAAGACATTTATTATTTGACTTTTCCGCACTATTTCAGCATGAAATGTGGTAAAGCATCTACCAAAAATGCATAAGGATTCTTTTTTATTTTGATCATGGTTGGAAATACTTGCAATCCCGTTTTTTATGACGTATGCTTTTTTTCTCAGTTAGAATAAATATTGTCAAAATATATCAATCTTTCATTGAAAAATTTTTTATTAATCTTGCAAGTAGTAATGAGAAATCTCTTGGTTGATTGTAATGGGAGAATACAAACAAAATTTTACTTTGGATAATCTTCTTTGTTTTTTGTTACAATAATGAAATTATGTCAATACGTATTTATGAAAGTGAACACAACAATATTTACAGACATAATCTTTTTTTTTTCCTCCTTTTTTTTTTTGGATTTATCTTAATCTATTTTTTCATGCAAAGAGTATGGTACATATTAAAAGTATATAAATCTTACCACAGCACAAAGTTAGAAGTTTTTGCTGCACTATTATATTATTTGCATGTCTTACAGCAACTCCTTGCCTTCTTTGGGTATTGGGGATTATTAACAACTATTGATAAGTCATTAAGAATCTATTTTTAATTGATCCTCTTATTGATTATTCTATCTGTTTCTACAGTATTAAGTGTTTAATCCAATTTATTTTGAACAACTTTATAAAATTACTTGTGGAATTATCAAATAGGATTATTGTAAATAGTAAATTTTCAACGTGGTAGTTCTTGCTTCTAAACAAGTTTGTAACTTCCATGTGACATTCATATACGATATAGTACATTTAAACTATCAAATATGTTTGTTGAATTTCTAACTATACAAGCATATAGTAGAATTACAAACATTATTGATTTTATTAGTTTATAACATACGATGTCTATATCTGCTCAGGCATAAGAACACTTGTCAAATTTAGATTTCTATTTCTATTGAAAGTAGAGAGTGTATCTTGATAATATATTTATATATATATATATATATATATATATATATATATATATATTATATATATAAAATAAAAAAAAACCGTTATAGTGATGATTAGTACTTTGGAAATACCAAAGTCAATTTGTGTATAGACTGCTATAAATAATTATAATAAGAGTTTGTAAAATAATATTGACAATGATATATGTATCAAGAGATTTCTTCTGTCTTATTTTTCTTTCTTTTTCTTTTTTTCTATTTTTATCTTTTAAAAAAATTTTTCTGAACTATTCATTAGGCTGTGCAATGTATAAACTTTTTCCCCTCGATATTTCCTATACAACCAAACATTAATTTAGCATCAAAATACATTTTATTTAATAATAATAATAATAATAAAAAAAATCTGTATTTCATAGAATACATTACATCTTGATAATTGAATTAAAGATTTACTAAAGCAGTAAAGCGTTATATTTGGAAATATTTAAAAGATACCTGATAAAAATATGCTAATTTAAAAATAATAAGTATCTTCATTGCACATTTTATTACTTAGTTATAGAGATATAATCATTGTTATCAAAAGATAATCTCTGTCACAAATATTGAACAGCACGTATCGGTAAGATACGTGAGTATTTATAAATACTATAAAATATACAGTTTTAAAGAGCGGTCTTAAAATTGATATTTTATAAATGTTCAAATATGTGATTATTAATATGAAAACTGTGTGCCTGTCTGCAAAGTGAGAACAGGGAAAATTTAATTCTTATTTTGAATTGTATAAATTTAAATTATATTATTAAATTAGTAATTTTCAGTTAGGCTGGTGCTTACTTACTTTAAGCAAAAGTTGAAAAATCAGTTTATAAGGGACCTACAGAATTCAGATTTAAAGAAAAAAATCAGAATTTAGTTTATCAACGAGGAATACTGCATATGAATTAAAATCGTCTTTCTACTGTTTATATATATATATATATTTCTCTTTTTAATATATACAAAGATCACATACAATTTTAGCTTAGTTTACTGTTGAAAAGCGAGTAATGATGTTTAAATACTACAAATTGATGATAAGCAAAATGAAGTCTGGCTTTAGGGTCATTATTGGTTAGAAATAATTGAAATTTGATTCTAGAAGCATGTTTCTAAAATGTTGTTTGCATGAATTTATTGTAATATTGATTTTTCAGTTTTGATATGTGTAATTTTTTTTTTTTTTTTTTTTTTTTTTTTTATATATAAACGTCCTCTATTTAAAAGCTATTATTTGCAGGAAATTATTTTTCATTATATATACTAATTTATATTACACAATCTATCTACATAAAAATGACATATGTTTCTGTATGTCATAAAATTAATAATAATGTGTGTATGTATGTATGTATGTGTATATATATATATATATATATATATATATATATATATATCATACTATCAAAGTTATATTACATAAAAAATTTATGAAGTTATACGAGATATATATAGAAATGAATAAAACTTTTGTATAAATCAAATGAATAGTACAAAGGTGTATTACATTAATACGTTTTTATCCTTTAAAAAAGGAAAAAAAAAAAAAATAAAAAAAAAAATAAAAAAAAAAGAATGAAAAATATGACAAGCAACATAATTCAATATAGTGTAAGAGTCTATAAAAAAATAAATCTAACTTTTAGAAGGGTATCCCTGAAGCCAGCATCGTTCGGTTTTCGTTTACCCAAACACAACAATCTTGTAAATATGTAATGTTAATTACTGTAGATGTATTAGTAACAAATGATTTTTGACAATAATATATATATATACCATTTGCAAGATATTGGGCCTATATGTTCACATACATAAGTATTTTGTCTTTTTTTTTTTTAAATATTCCTTATTAGTCATTAGTACTTTAAATTTAACACTGCTTTTTACATTGTATAAATATACAGTCGAAGATACAATTTTATACTTCTGAAAGTAAAATGCACGATTATCGTCAATCTGCAAAACAAAAAATTTATATTTTTCCTTAATGCTTTTTTATACAGTTTTAAAAATTGCCTGTAACATTGAAATATCAGAGCCCTATGACATTTATAATTTTGTTCTAATCCTTGTATTATATTGCATGTTAGTAATTTATAATAAAAAAAGAAATAAAAAAAAAACAAACAAAAAAAAACAGAAAAAAAGAAAAGAAAAAAGAAAAAAAATTTGAAAAGATTGTTGTATAATGTCTAAAACATAAAATTTGTGAGACACATTTATTAACGATTATATAATAATTATATTTGTGATATATATTACTTATGATTATGATTATGATTATTATTATTATAATTATTATTATTATAATTACTATTATCTCTATACCGTTGTTATATTATAATTATTATTACCACCATTATTATTACAAATGCTACTGCTGTTACTATTATTCTCAATATCACCATCAGAGACATACCTGCTATTATTATCACAATTAAACTGTTAATGGTTTTTAAATACAATGTTGTGTTACAAGCGTACTTTTGTATTTCATATTTTACAAATAAGAACACGCACGCACATACATATACATGAGAATGTGTCTACAATGTATTCATATCTCCTACTTTTTTACAGAATGTATAATACATTGTTCTTTCATCGATCCAATGATTTAAGTAATAATGATTAGTTATGAACATATAAATATTTAATTTCTATTTTTTAGCTGTCTACGCTATTACAATATTTTTTACTATTATAATTCCAGTATTTACATCTGTTATATAATATTTGAGATTTCTCCCTGTTTGTGACTGCTTTTCTGAAGGTACAAAGTGAAATTATATATATATATATATATACACACACACATACACATATACATACATACATACATACATACATATATACATATATACATCCATATATATATAATTTCTTTATTTCTTTAATATATCTTTAGCGTATTTCTTTAATTATAACTTTTAGTGTATGCGGTGTAATGGATTATGCATTGATGAGTAGCGGTAAAGTTTCAGAGTTATTTTCTTACATGTAATATTGTATTGCCATAATTAGAAAGTCATTGTACGAGACACGAGTGTGTATTATGATAAATGTCTTTTCATTATTTGTGAACTGCTTTTATTCTCACCGAAATTTCGACAATAGGTAGCGAAATATTTTCTCAGATCGGTGCATCTGCTTTCCTTGCACTCTATTCCTTGCATGCTGCGTGTAAGTACATTACTGCAAGTTTTATTATCCTTTTCTGTGTAATATTTACATACTTATATATACATATATATTTACACAAATATATATATTAAATTTGTATGTAAACGCAGTATTATATGATAAGGGTAGAAGTGGCAGAAATGCAAGTGATCATAATTATCTATTTTCTTCTTTTTATAAATGAAATTCTTTCATGTTATTTACTGCATGTTTGTCATTGTGAATGTATATAAAAGAAAAGTGCCACACATATTTCTTTAACCCGAGATCATAGAAAAAAAAAAAAAATAATTTAATCGTTCACCTGACCGAATTATAAAAATTTCTTTGAAATCATTAACAAATTCCATTTAATATCCCAAGTATATGTCAATAATATAGATATATCATGAATATTATTAATGTTAAATCATTATTGAGTTAAAGAGATATTTGTAACTTGAGAGAAAATAGCACTATATCCTCTTCAATATTAATTGTTAACAATAATATTATTTAATATTGATGATAATAATAATAATAATAATAATTATAATAATAATAATAATAATAATAATAATAATAATAATAATAATAACAATAATAATGATAACAATAATAATAATAATGATAACAATAATAATAATGATGATAATAATAATAATGATGATAACAATAATAATAATGATGATGATAACAATAATAATAATAATGATGATGATAATAATAATAATAATAATAATAATAATAATAATAATAATAATAATAATACGATGTCAGAATAACCGTAGATAGTGACTGACTGATTATATCTATATGTCTGTTCGCCCATAGTGGACATGGATCAACGCGTTGGCCGGTATCGTCTACTATCTGATGGAGGGATGATAGATCTTTTGTGAGCACATCGCACATCACCCTTATTCATCTTTCAACTGCCGTGTCAATGTTATCTTTAGTTATCAGACAAACATCATTAAATGTACAAAGTAAATGAGCTAATAGATCTCTGCCATATTCATGTTTTACGTTTAAGGTTTTAAAAATGTGAAATTCGTTCGGAAATTATTTTTTTTTCTTCCTTTTTT